GTGTGTGTGTGAGGGAGTGTGTGTGTTTGTGTGAGGGAGTGTGTGTGTGTGTGTGTGTGTGTGAGGGAGAGTGTGTGTGTGTAAGGGAGTATGTGTGTAAGGGAGTGTGTGTAAATGTATTGGTTGGAGAGCTTTCACTGCGAGAGGTGATGGAGAGTTCTGTGCAATAACTGTACAGAGTGTTTGGCCTCCGATTACCCTGTGTGAACAAACCAACTTTTTTGGATCATCATTACTCTGGTGAGCATTTTCTCCTTCCCATCTCGCGTTCCTGAAACAGATGCTTCCAGCCATTCTGTCAGCTCCTTTGTTTCAGATCCAGTTTCTCACAGTCAGTTCTTTCTTTGTTCTGACCAACAGGACTGGCACGAGCGAAGTCTGTGCCCAGTCAGACCTACTCCTCCCAGGTGGTGACACTGTGGTACCGGCCCCCGGACGTGCTCCTTGGGGCCACCGATTATTCCACCGCCCTGGACATCTGGTGAGGGACTCTTCCCATCCTTTCTGAGAAAGGCCTGTGGTGATACACCGGGAGCGTTTCCTCTAAGCCGGGCGGAGGCGGGGGCTTTGGAGCGGGAGTCTACAGCTAGCAGCGTACTAACAGTTAGTTTAGGAATATGGGGAGGCCATTCATCCCCTGCATGGCCAGCTCCGCTGTTCCATTTGATCTTATCTACCTCAATTCCACCATCCTTCATACTTTTAACCAACGAACATCCAACAGCCTCAGTTTTGAAACTTTCAGTTGTCCTCCAGTCCCTATGAAATTTTTGGTGGTGTTGGTGGTCAGGGTGGGTGTGAGGTACACCATTCCAGTTCCTCCCCTATCCTTCCTGCACTTCCTGACTGTATGAGCAAAGTCCAATTCTGTGTTCTGCCCTGGACTCCTGTTTTCTTTAAGGTTCTGCTCTTTATCAACATCACTAAACATCTCAAGCGACTATCTTCTGCACTTGACGCAACACAAGCTCAGACCGTTGAAACTATCCTCATAAGATAACCCTTCGAACCCAGGTACTATTTCTGTTAAATCTGCTCTGTGCTGTCTTCAAGACCATTACCAGTCTCCGTCCTTGTGTCACCTTGAGTCTGAAGGAAAGGGCCCCTCGTAGGGGCAAGTTGTGTGTCAATCGTGGCTCAGTGGACAGCAATCTCTCACCTCTGCCACCCCCCAACTGAGGCAGATGGATTTGGGTTCAAGTCTCACTCCAGCACTCAGGCACAAAAACTCCAGGCTGACCCTCGAGAGCAGTACTGAGGGAGTGCTGCACTGTCGGACATGTTGTCTTTTGGGCGAGACATCAGGCCAGGGTCCCATCTGAATCCCTCAGGCAGTCGTGAAAGATCCCCTTGCATTTTTCCCGGTGTGGTATGGAATTTCTACCCGATGTTCTGGCCACTATTTATCTTCCAATCGATGTGATAACAAAAAATTGGCAACCTGGTCATTATCGCATTGCCTTCTGCAGGAGCCTGCTGTGTGCAAATTTTGCTGCTGCGCCTTTAACAATACAACTACACGTCAAGAGCACTTCATTGGCTGTAACGTGCCTTGATGCGTCAAGTGGTCATCAAAGGTGCTACAGAAATGCAAGTCTTTTATCACTGCAACCTAAGCTTATCTTCCCATCAGAAGCGGCTCCCTTGCCTGAGGTTGTTCCCCGTTTCCTGAGGGAAGTCATGGTGTCCCTAAACCAAAGACAAATACCCACTAACAAAAAAAGCGAAAGAACTGCAGATGCTGTAAATCAGGAACAAAAACAGAAGTTGCTGGAAAAGCTCAGCAGGTCTGGCAGCATCTGTGAAGGAAAAAACAGGGTTAACGTTTCGGGTCCGGCGACCCTTCCTCAAACACCCGCTACCCCCTTGTACCACTCCCACCAAGTCTCCTGTATCCTGCAGAGCTGTTAATGCTGCTGTGGGTGGTCTAGTTCCCAATTCTGTAACATCCTCTCCCAAACTCCATCTAACTCTCTGTGGTTCACGGTAGCCATTCTCCCATTGCCAGTAACAGGTAGCACTTGCTGGCGAGATGCTCAGCCAATAGGCACAGGGTAACAACTGGGGTAATGGGGAGCTGACCCATCCTTCCACCTCAGATGTATCGAGGTCAGGTTCTTGGGCCTGGTTGAGAGGAGCTAACTGCTTGTTCTGAGGAAGGGTCACCGGACCCGAAACGTTAACTCTGATTTTTTCTTCACAGATGCTGCCGGACCTGCTGAGCTTTTCCAGCAACTTCTGTTTATTTTGTTTCTGATTTACAGTGTCCGCAGTTCTTTCGGTTTTTACTTTGTAACTAACTGCTTTCTTGTTTCATTTTGTCGTGCAAATACCAACGTCAACGATAATAGTGCAGAAACGCGAAGGAGCGTAACTTTTTGGAGCTGGTTTAGGCCCTCAAGTCTGCTCTGCCTTTTGATAAGCGACATGTTGTCATCTCCGCTTCCCTGTCTTTTCTGCTCGTGATCCTGGTCTGCCTTGATGATATTCAAGACCCAGCCTCCAGTGCTGTCTGGGGAAGAGTACTCCACAGACTTAATAACTCCCTGAGAGAGAAAGAAAGATCCTCATTCCATCTTAAGAGGGAGAGCCCTCGTTTTTAACCTGCATTTGCTACTTCCCCAACAAGGGAAACCCACCTTCCCAGTGTCCACCGTATCAAGTCCCCCCACCAAAGATCCTTTAAGTTTCAAGGAGATCACCTCTCATTATTCCATACTCCACTAGGTGCAGATTCAACCTGTTCAACCCTTTTCTTATAGGGTGGGCCTTATTCTGCAGGATCACATCCTTGACTTTCAAGGATTCATGTTGCTCAATCTCACATGACTGCTCAATCAATGGTTCAACCCACCTCTTTATTTTAGGATTCTTAGTGAGTTCAGTATTGACTATAAAACTCAGGTACAAAGTGTTACCATGCCAACCTCACACAGCAAAAATACTTATACCAGTTCTAGTTTTCAGTGCTCACGCTCCATGTCTATTACCGCTAATTGGCGATGCGTTAAAAGATACACAGTACAGGCTTTAGATACACAGTACAGACTTTAGATACACAGTACAGACTTTAGATACACAATACAGACTTTAGTTATTCAGTACAGACTTTAGATAAACGTGCAGCTGAGAAGATGCACTCATGTTCATCAGTCTCTCCCAGTGATATAGTTTCCATGGTTGCACAATCCGCCTGAATGCTTTATTCCCACAGTGTCTTGTAGCCTTAAAAGCTTTAATGAGTGGCATCTCCAGTTCTTCAGCATTTCACCTTTGAGCGAGCCTTGCTGTCGAACAGAACTGGAAGCTGTAATAAGCCATCTTACAACAGCCCAACCTCTGTCTCGCGCTCTCACACACACACACACACACACCAACACATACACACCCCCCTCAGTGAGATGCATGTCAATTGTGCGCCCATACTCCCACAGGCACCAGTGAGAATACTAGCATGTAGACCTCATTTGCTCCTGGCTTTTGCCAAATTTCCTGGAACAAGCTGGTTACGTGTCTGTCCGTGCCACTGTAGTGATGACGATAGCGAGTAACTCTGTCCTTCCTTGGCAGGGGAGCGGGTTGCATATTCATTGAGATGGTGGAAGGTTGTCCAGCTTTTCCTGGTGTGTCTGATATCATGGAGCAACTCCGGAGAATCTGGGCAGTAAGTGACTTTGGATATTGCGTTAACCCGGGAAGACACTGTCATTCGGGTTTGAACTCGGTTCAGGCTAAGGGAGGGAGTGAATTTCCACACATTGAAACTAGCCGAAGGGCCTTGGTTTGGAGCTTGACCTAGGGCAGGAGAGTGACTCCTTCCCATTTCCCACAATTCCCTTTAATACGCAACGAGGCAGGGCAGCAGAAGTCTTAGATTTCAGAGACTGTAGCGACATGTAAAGTCACTTAACCTTGGTTTGCAGATGCACCGATTGGCTCATGCCCATTTCCAGAAAGAATTCTGGACAACAGGATTCTGGTCAGTGTGGCCTGAGACCCACTCTTTTGGGTCCCCGATTACTGAGTTCAAAGTATAGAGAGAATGAGGCCCCCATTGTCGGTGATGAGTCTGAAGCGTGCCTGCTGGAACTACATGTTTCCAGTGTAAAGGCTTTGAGAGGGCAGTGCGCAGTCAACATTCCAATCTGAATGGGGAATCTCTGTTTCCAGGTCCTGGGACTTCCCACAGAAGAGAGTTGGCCTGGAGTCACAGCACTCCCAAACTACCGCACAGGTAAACCCTTAAAAATCGGCCATCTGTGTGGAGAGATCTGTTATGAAAGGGTTCAGTCTGAGTGAGATATGGGGGTTCAGTCGTGGTATGTTGGAGTGCAACCTCGCTGATACGCTGGGGTTCACTCTGGGTCATATTTTAACGTACTGTCGGTCACGTGTTGAGTTTCAGCATGGGTGAGATATTTGGATTCAGTCTGAACGATATACTGGGATTCATTTTGGGGTTCAGTCTGAGTGAAATTGGGGTTCAGTCTGTAATATTTGCGCTTGGGTCCAAGTGATATATTGGGCATTCAGTCTGCGTTATATAATTGGGATCCGTCTGCGGTACATCAACTTTCAATTGGGATGAAGTGTTGGGGATCAATCTGAGCAATGTTTCATGTTGGGGTTTTAGATTTGGGCTGCTCCATTAGGCTCACCTAGAGTAATATATTAGGGTCTGGCTGGATGGTGAGTGTATTTAAGCGCTTGTGTGTTGGTGCGTTCTCTGAGGGTTGGTATGAGAGAGTATATCGTGGGAAAGTTTCTGCGAGATTATGTGGGGAATGAGTTTGATTCTGTACCGTGTGTGCTGGGCTGGGAAGAGGTATATGAAGAGGTTTGTGTGTACACCCACTCTTGGTGGGCCTACTGGTGATAATATTGGATCAGTCCTGAAACATGCTTTCCTCTTCACTCCTCACAGAGCACTTTATACCTCAGCCACCTCAAAAGCTGGGCCATGTTTGGAAAAGGTGAGTGTTGCTTTGGACAAACCTATACCAGGGAGCTGCCGTCTGGGATCCTGCGACAATGGCACGCTGAGTGAAGAAGCTGTCTCTCCACGTTCTCGTTCCTTTCCTGACTGGTTCTCATTTTGTTCAGACTTCAGCTGTTTCTCAGTTTGAAAAAAAATATAGGAAGTGCCGCTGGGAATACTGGGGGGGGCATGAAGTATATCACCAGCTCAATCCAAACTCTCATAAAATCTCACCTTCACCCTCTTTTCTCTTGCCCCTGCTTCTTTCTCACTCACTGTCTCTCTATTTGTTTCCTTCTCTGTTTTTCCAGCCCTCCCTCCACTCTCTTCAAGGTCCTCTTCCTATTTATCCTGTGGTATCAGGGGGAGCTAATCTCTGTCTCTAAAGACAAGATGTATGAGAGGTTCATTAGTGATCAATAAGAACCATACTTGCTTCCCTCTGTACCATCAATGAGTGATAGGAAGAGTCATCAGTGATGCCCCCATATCTGCGGCCAGCGAGCAAAAGCTGCAGAACTCATCACCCAGTCATTTCATTGGATCATAGATTCCCTACAGTGTGGAAGCAGGCCATTCAGCCCATCGAGTCCACACCAACTCTCTGAACAGCATCCCACCCAGACCCAGACCCACACCCCCTACCCTATCCCCGTAACCCTGCATTTCCCATGGCTAACACACCGAGGTTGTACTGTGGGAGGAAAACTGGAGCACCCGGAGGAAACCCACGCAGACACTGGGGAAGAACGTGCAAACTCCACACAGACAGTCACCCAGGGGTGGTATTGAACCAGGGGCCCTGGCGCTCTGAGGCAGCAGTGCTAACCACTGAGCTACCATGTCATCCCATTTCTGGCTGGCATCAGTCTGAACACTGTTGTTGATCCTGACGAAGAACCCACAAGTCTCCAATAAGTATCTGTGAGCCTGCTGCTGACAATGAGATCGCGCCACTGTCTTGAGCAGATCCCTGGAAGGATCCAAGGTCCGAGAGGTCGAAGGTGGTGATGTCTTTGACACCATTGGGTCCAGTCAGCAGCTCTTGTTCCAGCAGTCTACTTGTTATCTGACACTGATTGTCACGACTCCCTGCAGTTCTGACAAATCTGGCTGAAGAGACAGTGTATTGGGTATGGCTTCCTGCGAGCTGCATTCCTCCGTTCACCTCCTGTCTCCTGTAGAGATTCTGGTCTGTGAGCAGGCATCTACTGCTGGCCTGTTCTTCCTCATCTGAGGTCCCACATAAAGCACCCTAAGTAGTGTGCATGTGGATCGGAATGCATAGAGCCCAACACATTGGAGTGAAATTTTCAATTTTGCCGCCAAACTCAACACACAATCAGATCAGTGCAGTTACCCACACTATTTGTCTAGCCTGGATTTGTCTCACTATCTCTCTCCGTCTGTCTCTTGCTCTCACTCTCTATGTTGTTTTCTCTCTGTCTGTGTCTTTCCTGCTTGTCTGAGTCTCTGTTTATTTGTCTAACCAAAACCTAAACTTTGGAATTCCTTCTCCCGATCTCTCTGCCTGTCTTCCCTCTGAAGTTTTTCTTTCAACCCTGACCTCCTTGATTCATCCTCATTATCTCTTTGTGGGGTTCGGGGCCAGGTTTGATCTGCCGACGATCCTGGGAAGTGCTGTGAAACACTTTGCCGTGTTAAAAGGGGCTCCACAGAAATGCAAGTTGTTGACTTGAAGTGGGCTGACAGCGTGCCGCTGCAGTGTGGCCTTGTGTCTCACCTGATGGCCCTTTCCTTCCCTTTGCTCAGATTAGGCCTGGTTCCTCAGGCGGAGTCTCTAACATCGCAGCTCCTCCAGTGCTACCCGCGGGACAGGAGCTCGGCAGAAGATGCCCTGGCACACGAGTACTTCAGCAGCCTACCCCCTGCTCTGTTCCAGCTCCCCGACAGTACGTACACATTCGTTCCTGTCACACCTTGACTTTGGCCGTGCCTCACCACCAGTTCAGTAGATTATTGGGACCGGGTCAGCAATTGCCAAACAGAGTGGCTGTAATGAAAGTGTGAGCAACAAGGAGAATTGCACTCAGCAGCTAAAAATGAAAATCACGACGTGTAATCGTAAAGAGAAGGAATCATAGGACAATAATAAATTCAGAACGAGAGGACCATAATTAAACTTTGAGTGAACTATAACATAATGTGACCAAATACTCACCCTCCTGGTAAATACTGACAGAACTGGGAATGATAAAGTCAAAGTCTGGGTGTGATAGAGAGTTATGGTTTTTATATTATTGACCAGTCCATTCAGTGATAGTGTATGATAGAATCCATGTCAGTTCTGATGTATACAATTCATGGAGCATTTGTTGCCCATCCCTATTGTGGTGATAGTAATGAGATCAGCCAGATGGACCTCAGAAAATATTAGTTCCCTGATTGGGGCTGTTAATCTGGTCCAATCAGGGAGCCCTGGCTGACAGGTATAAACAGGAGTGTCAGGGGTTCTGTTCACTCTGAGAGCTGGCTGTGAGGGAGCTGGGTCAGTGTCAAGGACTCTGCACATATAAATAAAGGGTGACTTGGTGACAGGATACCGACCTCTGTGGAATTATTAAACAAAGCCAAGCAATGGCCAAACGGTTACAATTTTCTTCAGAATCTGGGCCAGCGAGCCATTGTAGTTGCTGCTGGTACTTGGACTTTGGATAGCAAGGGAGTCCCACCAGTCCTGAACTGACTAAGAAACATCACAAGCTGGGATCCAGGAGAGTGCTCACCCTAGAAAATCCACCTACATCTGGTTTGGAACAGTTAAATTACTCAGCAACATCCGAATCAGAACCAATCAAAATAAACGTCTGGTTAAATGGTCACCTTGTCCTGATAAAGGTTGATACCAGCTCGGCTGTATCAGTGATCGCAGAACCAGTCTTTAACTAAATTCGCTCTGGACTCCAAACCTTAAGTTTGCACAAGACCTCGGCTAGACTGAGAACCTATACCGAGGAACCTTTATAGATGAAGGGTACAACTTCGGTTCCAGTCTCTTATGGGAAGCAGCTGGTCAGTTACCACTGACTGTGGTTTTTTCTAGTTGAAGAATCAACTAGAGTTTATTAAAACTATTTTAGATTTAGCATTGTTCTGATTCCAGCTAATGTTACTATTGGACAAATCAAATCGCAGACTAAAATCTGGCCTGATAGCTCATATTTTGATTTTGTTTTTAACATGACAGTTTTTCACTGATAACTAAGGATTCAGGGCTGCAGATTTGGTTGCGACAACATAACAGCAGTTGAATACAGAGTGACGGAGAATATGGCATTAATCTCCGTTTTTGTACGGGAATCGAGCCTTAGTCACAGTCAGTCAACAGGTCTTGCTTTTGCTGCCTGTGTTGCAAAGGCAGCGCTGAGTGTTTTGAGTTCTCCAGCATTCTCGGTTCTATTGCTGACTGCTTACTCGTGTCTCTTGCAGTGGTTTCCATCTTCAGTGTGGCTGGAGTCCGCTTGGAGCCCGAAGCCCGGAATGCTTTCCATCCCTTTCGGAAGGTCAGATGCACATCAATCCTTGCCTGACATGGAGGGAGAACGGGACAGGTAGGGAGCAGACTGGAGACCATTCGTGACCCCAGGAGGGTGAAGGGGAGAAGAAAGCACAAATTGGATGAATTGTTCCACCCTCTTGCCCTTTATCTGGGAGTGGAGTTTGGGGCATTCCCAGGATCTGTAAGACACAGAAGTGACTGTCAGTGAAGCGGGAGGGGGGGAGGGGGGACATTCCTTTTAAAACCACCACGGGGTCAAGCTTTTTATTCCACACTCTATTTGACTTCAAATTCCACATAGTCCAGGTGAGGAGGCTGACTGCATCAGGCCTCCAGGCATTGTCCTCCTTACCATGTGCGGAACAAACCTGACTGACAGTTGATGGAGACAACTAAGAGGGGAGGTCTTTCTCATACAAAGTGAGTCTCGGTGAGTCTCGACACAGGCCTGAAACTCAGGATTCTCCAGGGAAAAAGTTGGGATTTAACAGTGGGGTAGATGAACATGACACTCGACTTAACCCCCACATTAATTCTGTACTAACCCTGAGCTGCCGGTGCTCTCCCTCTCTCGCTGTGCCTATCAACCCTAACCCTACCTGTCTGTCTCCTTGTGTTGTCCACTCTCTTCTGGTACACACCCCCACCCTGTGCTGTCCACCTTCTGTCTCTCTCTGAGCTATCCTCTCACTCTCTCTGTGCTGCTCTCTTCCTCTTTCTCTCTCTCTCTATCTCTCTCTCTTTTTCTCTTCCTGTCTGTCTCTTTATCTCTCTCACTCTCTGTCATTGTCTCATTTTCTCTCTCTCTCTTTCTCTCTCTCCTGGTGTTGCATATTCTGGCATTTCCATTTGTACAATCTTGGGTAGGCTCCCTCTGGCCTGGGAAGCTCACATGTCTGACAATTGGATGTGTTTTAAGTCTGCCTCTAATGTCTTTATAGGTAATGGGACCTATGAAAATCTCCAGGTGACCTTCCCTCTGCCATTACTCCCTGCCACCCCCCCAGCCCCATTCCCATCATGCTGTACATGTACCTTGTGTTCAAGTGGGTTCACCTTTAAGGATCCCATGAACTGTGTGCACACAGTGTTGGAATTGTGCCTGGGTGCCAGAGATATTTGACGTGGTAGACACTGCTGGACTGGCAGTTGCAAGGTGTAGCAGCATGTCATAGCTTATGCCAGTCACAAAATCTGAGATCAATCAAATATCAGGGATCGCAACAAAAATTGCAGCATATTATTCCAGAAACACTTGCAGAACTGCACACAAAAGTAGAATGGACACGTGACTTTCTTGCGAATTGTTGGAGCTAAAATCTCAGCTCTTTGCTGTAGAGAGAAAAATGAACACTCTCCAAGAGGAAAAAGCTGAAAAACTAATTCAGGATAAATCCAAACTTTTGAATACCATCTCTGCAATGATGAGGTCTTAAGGGGAAACCCTCACTCATCTCACAAAGATGAATGAAGAGCTAGAAGAGAAGGAAAGTAAGTGGGTTGAATTACAAGTTGTGTACCATCAATCCGGTGAAAAGATTGCTGGTTTACAGGATGATCTGGAACAGCTCTAATGTAAAACAGATCAGGCTTAACAGGAGCAGCTACAGAAACATCAGCTTGAGCTCAAAACAATATTGGAGAAAATGACAGACCTGCAAAAATAATAACAGCTAGAAATGCACAGGGGACACAAAAAAGGGACATAAATCATTCACAAGACAGTCATTTCAACCAGCATTGATGCCTTAGTGACAGAACATAACAGCACTTAGAAGGATACAAACAACCACTGAAGTAGAAATTGTAAAAGGTCAAGATTTCAAAGAAGATCAAAGTTGGG